ATCTTACCGGGCAGCGTTATCGGGCCGAGAATCTGGCTCATAAAGCAGTATCATTCCTGCAAGCTATGCATGGCTTTTATGGTCGGCCCTCTTTGCTGCAAGACGACAATGCTAGGCTTCATCGTGCCAGGACTGTCACGGAATTCCTTACACAGCAGGGTTTAGAGCTGATGGAGTGGCCAGCATGCGCGCCAGACTTCAACCTTATTGAGCATGCCTGGAAGGAACTCTGTCGACGTGTTTACACACGTCACCCACCACCTGTGGATCTCCCAGGACTCTGCAGAGCTCTAGTAGAGGAATGAAATGTGATTCCGTAAGCTTTCTCTATGAACTTGATACCGAGCATGAGAACAAGGTGCACCTGCGTATTGGACGCGCGCGGAGGGTACATAAGATATTGAATGACCAAGTGCTTCATGTTTGTTTATTTTTATTTTGGGAGGTTTGTCTATACAACTGTTGTTTACTATGGCTGTTTGAATGTTTTGTCTGTATGTCACGATGTTCTTAGTTCTATCATTTCTGAGAAACCTTTCTTTACATGTGCTATAATATGATTTGACCCTTTATTGATGACGCCAAGTATATTTTGATATTATTTTGGACTATTCTTGTTGAATTATTAACGTGTGTATCTCAGATGTTTAGCGGTATGTTGAAAGTTTAAAACAACTTCTAGATATAGACTGCCACTAGTCCTGGAAGCTCCATGAAAGAACAACTCGAATTTGAATGGCTTTAAACACTTTGATACCAAATGAGGCAAACGGCATCCACAGATACAAATATGACGCTCCATTTATATTTACAACAGCATTTTAAACAAATGATTCCAAACGTGCTGAATGTTTGTACTTCCTGAATACTTGTGATATGACTGTTGGTCTTAGCATATCAACCTGATCTATTATAAAGTATTATTCGTTTCATGGTTTTACTGACGCAGCTGGTTAAAAATATCGGGTGATAATCCATATGATCTGGTCCAGGCTATGCTATGGTAACGAAAAGTTGCATTTTACACTCTACTGGACTCATGTAGCTGGGGCAGAAACAATACAAATGTACTATTTCTTCCCAAAACGTCATCTTTGCGTGATTGTAAACACCAAAACGCGGCAATTTTAACTTTTCCCATTGGTTTAGAAGCGTTTGAAAAAATAATCGCCACAACGTCAACAAGAAAGCATGGAAATCAAAATGCACGCGCAAGTACGGTATCGATGACAATAAAAACGCAAACGTTTCATCTTGTCATTCGTTTTTGCCTGGAAAAGAGGATCCACGACTGATTGTTGCCAATCGAAACATCGCCTTGCAGCTGAGGAGTTGCAGTCTGCAGTTCATCAGAGCACCATATCTCGCCTTTGGTATCGTATCCCTGCAGACCAACTCCGCCTAAGATCGCCCAGGAAGCGACGTCCAAGAGTTAACACGTCCAGGACAACTACATCCGGGTAATTCCGCAAGGACGACTTACCCAGCCTGTGCCGAGACGGTGCCCGAACAGTAATTGCAGCCAGTGGTGGTTATTCAAAGTACTAACTTTGACGCCACATTGTGGACTCAAGTAAACAGAAACACAACAATAAAGGTGCTGTTTTGTTAGTGAACTCTTTGTCTGTCGACGTGTGGATTTTCACCTTTTTACCATTGAAATTACATGAAATAATTAACCGCCTCCGTGGTGTAGTGGTTAGAGCGTCTGCCCGGAGAGCGGAAGGTCGCGGGTTCGATCCCCGACCGCGTCATACCAAAAGACGTTAAAATATGGTACTTGTTGGTCCCTGCCTGGCGCTCGGCATTAATGGGTACAACAAGGACTGGTCGGCTCGGAGTCAGTATAATGTGTCTGAGTGGGGTATTCATGCTTCACTGCAGCATGGTATCTCAGTGGGCTAGCACTATAAAACCAGCTTCAGTCTGGGCTAGTACAAGCAGCCGCACATACACATACACACGCATGCATCGTCGTCATATGAGCGAAATATTCTCAAGCACGACGTAAAACCCAATTTCACCTCACCTCACCTCACATGAAATGATTGCTTTTAATTAACGCAATAAATTCTTCTAAAAATGGCTTACGCGTTTCTTTTTATTTTCAAAGGTGTATTCTGTCATGGGGCGTATTCAATACTAATTGATTGTGGATGACTCAAAATCATTTGTCCAGCTAACATTAAAAAACTGCTAACCCTTAGGATTTGACTAATTGATATTCTGATGTTCTGTGCTTGCGGATGTCCGGGTGATGGATTTTCTGTATGTTGATGGAAAGAAACGTAAATGAATCCTCGCCTTAAAACAATCAAATCAAGAAGACAAAATCATCAATATCCCCTGCAATGGTAAAATACTCTTCATGAATATATCAACTAGTTAAAACTATGTCAGATGTTACATAGTTCTTCACACTGATCCAACGAAATCATACATATGTAAACCATTAACATACTAGCATACCTGTATCAACAAGAGATTGCCCGAGTGCTTCCACGGTTTGTCGTACCTCAGTAATGTTGATACTGGAAATTGAGTGGTACTGTTGATATATGTCATCAGGTTCTTCAATACCCACAATGTGGATGGACTGTATAAAAAGGTTTTTAAGAGCACTACCACCAATTTCAGTGGAAGTCAAACTTGTTGCCATGGAAATGCAAAATACCAAAAGGCAACCAGACCTTTTTATGTGCCGAGTTTGTTGTAGAAACATTGAATGGTTATTAAGTTCTGCTCCGGAAAAGAGCACCAACACCAATTTCAGTCGAAGTCAAACTTGTTGCCATGGAAACGCAAAAAAACCCATTTTTTCAGCAACCTATCTATGTGCAAAGGTTCGTGAAGAAATCGAACGGTTTTTATGTTCTGTTCCGGAAAAGACGAATTTGCACGGACGGACTGTGTCCAAAATAATATCCTCGTTGCGGGGCATGGAAAGCATATTTGATCATAACGCAGCTGTAATATTATGGACTGTATATGCATATAACTCCCCCATGTTATAACCCCTATGTACCTACACGTGTGCTGGCGAAGACCCAGCCGTTTAGCATTTGTTTTACGCCATATCAAATACCTTTGCATTGTCCTCTCTATAAACCCATGTTAAGGTAAAACCTGACAGCTATTCACTGAAGTGCTCCAATGAAGACATAGTTCACAATCATTCAGCGTGCAAAGATGCTTTGTGGTACGATGGATCCGAGCGCCATGCGTTACTAATTACCTCGTTACGCAACTAATATGGTTGCTGCACAAAGACGATCGAGCCATGGCAAGCAACGAAATGCACTGTCAATTATTAACCATATTGTCCATTTCGTTCTGTCCACTTACGTAATATAATATACTGAGTCAAAAAAGAAACTTCACATTCTTTCTTCAGGGCACTATAAAAGAACAAGAGATGGTAAGATGGTTAAATTGTTATTATTCCAGTGCTGAGATCTGTGTGATGTACTCGATACACTGACAGTGCCATAATCAGTTCAATTAGGCTACACCGCCGGTCCAAAACATGGGTATACAGAATGTCAAGTCACAAGAATAAAAATGCGAAATTTCTCAGTTCAATATCGTGTATGGCCGCCCCGAGCATTCACCACTGCCAAACACCGTCTCCTCAACGACTGCCTGATGCTTGTGAACACGTGGTTGGGGATTCTGCGCCATTGCTCTTGCAAGGCAGCGCCAAGTTCCTGCAAATTCTGAGGTTGGTTCCTAAGACCACGAAGCCTTCTCCCAAGTGCATTTCAAACGTGCTCTATTGGATTAAGGTGAGGGGACCTCGATGGCCAGTCAATGACGTTGATTCCAGCGTTTGGAAAGAAATTTCGTGTCAACATCGCGCTATGCGGCCGAGCATCATCATGCTGGAACTGTAGACCTGGGCCATGAGCCGCTATGAAAGGAACGAGTTCAGGGGTGAGCCCCTGGTCGCGGTGAGCAGCAGCTGTGAGGTTTCCACGGATGACCAGAAGTCGGGAACGGTTGTTCCCACAGAAAGCACCCCACACCATGCAACTTCCGCCCCCGAATCTGTCGACTTACTGTACACAACATTGGGCATACCGTTCACGACGTCGTCTCCAGACTCTATGCCTGCCGTCCGCGAATCTGAGGGTAAACCTGGATTCATCGCTAAAGACGACTCGATTCCAGTCTCTCTGGGTCCATCGGAGGTTACGTTGGGCACACAGCAGACGTTGACGTTGATGAAGCGGTTTTAATATTGGCCCACGATATGGACGTCGAGAATGGAGAATGGCAGCCCACAACCGATTTCGAATGGTCTGTGAGGACAGTCGACCTCTAAACATCTCAGCCCTAGTTCGTGTAGCCGGCAGAAATCTGTCACGTAGGTGACGTAGGACGATTTGACGGTCTTCTGCTCGTGACGTCACACGTGGACGACCCGACCTTGGACGATCAAAAGCGGTGCCAGTTTGTTGCAGACGACCTCGCAAGTCATACACAGTACGACGGCTGCATCCCATTGCTCTTGCGACGTCAATAACTGATCTTCCCGCTTGCAACATGCCAACGGCACGTTCACGTTGTACATTTGACAATCGTGGCATTTCAAGTACCGTTAGAACTGTGGTTTATAAGTGTTTTTTCAATTCTTGAGGCCAATGCAAACACGTGCATATGAAGAAAACTTCGATGCGAAGATCACGTGATCGACTGCACGTGCAAAACCTGATTTGGCACTAACGTCATTTGCACAACGAATGGATGGGTTTGAGTGGGTTTTGCTAACGTTTTTCTAGAGTCGAAAGATAGGGACCCCATTTCGGATACATAGATGTATCATCAGAGAAAAATTATTCATTATTTTTCAAATTACATTTTGTGAAGTTTCTTTTTTGACTCAGTATATTTAAAGTATAATTAATTATGTGTCATGTCAACATAATTTCACAGAAAAATATGGTCCTAATTACATTTACACTGTGTGGTATATGCTCATAGTATTTTATGCTCTTTAACTTGCTTTGACCTGCTTAATGAATGTAAATTTGTCAGTCAAAGTCAGTTCACGCACGTTCAGATCCAAGCACGTATACATTTAAACAATAGTGTCCCTTCGTGTGATGCATACCCCAATCCATGGGTTTAGCCATGTTCGTGAAGTGAATGTTGTTCGAGCACAGGGAATAGATCTAGGATCGTGGTAGGGGAAAGGACACGGTCAGCTAAATCCAAAAGCGCAGGCTGCGCACGGAGCGGAGGCTGCTATGTTTCCTTGTCAGGGGGAGAGGGTCCAACCTCGCTCTCTCACTGTAACGTGCTCAAAACTCAGATTAGATTAACTCCACCATGTTGACAGGATCATGTTTAGGAGCCAGTCTCGGCAGACAAGGTAGGAGCTTCTCCATCAAGGATTTCTTTATCTCCTTTAAAGAGTCAGACTAAGTCATGTTTAGCCCAACTCTAAATCTAAAAACAACCACCAGTAAATAGTCAAAATCTAAGTAGTTCATAATTTTTGTCTGGTATTCTTTAGTGTGTCCAGGTTAAAATTGATAACACGTCACGTGATCATGAAATTATCATTAACATAATGATCTAGCTACTATCCAATACGATGTCTCTTTTGTTGGTTACTCAGCCATGTTGGAATCAATATGTTTCATCACAATCTGATGCAAACGAAGTGGGGTAACCATATAGGTGTCAATAGGTTTCATCAAATTTAACTTACTAATCTCCTGAGGTTGTCATTCAAGCCTGGAAGAAATCAAATTGCGACATTTGATTGACGACACGATATACACAAATGGGTTTTCACTGAAAGGTGAGGATCGTCCATATGAAGGATCTTTTTAATACAATTTCACAAAAAGTCATTTAACAGGACTTCAGTTAACTGATATACACAGCAGTAGAACCAGCAATTGTTGAGAATTTATAGATTTTTATTTTTATTTTTTCACTCATTACTCACGTATTAAATGTGAATATTAGCAGAACGTAACTCCAGATTCAAAAACAGGTGAACAGTTAGTATTTTGTCAGGTCACCATGGGCAGCAATGCAGGCTTCAATGCGGCGGGGCATACTACTGATCAAAGAAGTTAGAAAGTCGTGGTCCATGCTGTCCCAATATCGGACCACCTCGTCTTTCATTTCAACAATATTTGTCAGATTTTTCTTATTGACACTTTCCTTCATAAGTCCCCAAACATTTTCTATTGGATTTAGGTCAGGGCTATAGCTTGGCCAATCTAATAATGTCACATTTTGGGTCCGAAACCAGGCCTGTGAAAGTCCAAACATTTCCATAGAACACGTGAGCAGACGGAAGTAAATGTCCTTCGAGAATATATGTGTACTGCTCACTGTTCACATTCCCTTCAAATACACAGGGGGGCGTTGCCCCTAACACAGATATGCCACCCCACCGGTTAACATTCGGACTGTACTTTGGGCTCTGATACAAAGGTTTTTCAGTTTGTTTGGTCCAGAATTTCAGTGTATTAGGGAGGAAACAGCCAATCAGAACTTTCATCTGAGAAAATGACATTGTCCCAGTTAAAATTTCTATGCTGTAAGCACCAGTTCAACCTTTGCTACTTTTGTTCAGGTTTCATGATCGGTGATGGAATTCCTCGACCTTTCTGCCAACCCATTGCATGCAGCTCAGTTCAAATTGTCTCCTTACAGACAGTCACAGTTCCTCTATCAATCATATCCAGCCTTAAGTGTTCTAAACTCCTTCGTTTGTTTTTAGAAACAAGAATACCAAGCCGCCTCCTGTCACCGACAGTCAATTTTCTGGGCCTACCTGCGCCTCCCTGGTGCTCAATGCCATATCCATTTGCAAAATTTTTCAAAACACGATAAACAGAGGACAAAGGGATGCCTGTTCTACTTGAAATCACTTTAGCTGATCTGATGTCCTTGTTATAAAACTCTAAAATCAACTTCCCCTTCTCTAAATCATCCATACTGAGGATCACTGAAAATGTCGTCTGCTAGCAAGTAAACAAGTGAAAAGGGATTAACGGAGTTGTCTCTCTTGAATGAAACCAAGCACTTGATAGCTGGTCAAGGTTGTTTATACTAGAGATCCAATTAAACATATTCCTAAAATTCTCAATAATTTCTGGTCATACTATATACAGTTATAAATCTTAGAATGAATTAACAACTGAGGTTGTTAGTGGCAGTAAATTCAAAGGGTGTTGCGGGAAAACAAATGCTTGTTCCCTCAGATGTTACAGAAGTTTCACATCATTTAAAGTATTTTCTTTCAGATTATTCAAAGAGAAAGTCATGCGTAATTTGTTAATGAGCAAAGTTTCATCTCGTACTCTACTTTGTCAATATTATGTTAATTAAATAATAATTGCTTCAGCCATGACGTGTCAATTAAGACATCACCGAACTCGTGTCCTTTGATGAAATACATTCGTCTACTTTATTAGAGTTGAAGTGGTGCTGTTTGGTATCTAATTTTGAATAATTAGTCAAATTTAAATCGTAAAGTTCCATCTGATACTTTGCTATGTCAGTATTATGGTAATTAAATGACATTAAAAAACTTTTTTTCAATCAGTGTGCATATGTCTGAATGGTAAGTATGTTCAATTCTATTGCAGTAATGAATTCAGCTTTGTTTTTGAAAACATATATACAATCAATATGACATTTCTTCCTCTACTTGCCATGTGCCGATTCTACAACTCTCAGTTCCTTTCGACTTCCAACTCCATTCAACAGTCAAGAACAGACGTAAGCAAGTGACATTCGTGCGTCCGGAAAGTCGTGAGTCCAATGTTACTAGTTACTTCTGCCACTTATTTGTCCCAGTGTATAGCACTGTTGGGATGTCAGTAATAAATTATGTGAGTCAATATAAGTTTTCAGAAATTCATTGTACTTGTGCGATCATTTACTAATGCCAAAATATCATGGATTTCTTGAAGTTCACATTCCTGTACTAACCTTTGCGTTACGCTTTAGAAATCACCTCGTAACGATACGCGAATCATGTCCATGCAGGTAGCAAAAGTCCCGTGGTCCCTACTATGGGGATCCACCTTCAGTTGTTGGGGATCTATAGCGTTTTCATATTACGTATTGTACAAATAATGCTATTAGTTTTAACTGTACATGCTAGTTTTAATTCTCACTGTGATAGTCTAGTTGTTTTACTGTTATTTGACGACAGGTTTTATAATATACTCTCCCAAAAAGAAACGCATATAGGAATTTCAACTGTATTTTTATGTTTATTTTGAAACATCTTGTAGGCTTTATGAGTCAATGAAATATAGCGAAAGTACACACTGGGAATGCAGACTTATCCGTCTTTGGCACCAACTCGAGGAAAGTCAGTTTGAGTGTCACATGGAGACGTCTGGTGGCGCTAAAGTCAATTCGTTGTGTGACCACCGTGGGCATACAGAACTGCACGGCATCGTCTCGGCATCGAACGCATAAGTCTCAGAATCTCGTGTTGCCCAATCGCAGCCTACTCTGCCTGTAGTGCCTGTGCGAGTTGCTGAAGTGTCTGGGGCTGAGGGTTAAGGCGTCGCACCCGTCTGTCCAGGGCATCCCACAGATGTTCGATCGGGTTTAAGTCCGGTGATCTTGAGGGCCAGGGGAGCACATTGATGTTGTAGTTCTGGAGGAATTCGCTAGTGTGACGTGCTGTGTGGGGCCTGGCATTGTCATATTGAAACAACTCCCTCTGGCGATCAATGATTGGAAGGAGGTGTGGGCGTAGGATTTCATCACAGTACCGTTGAGCTGTCAGGTTGCCTTGACACTTCTCCTACGGCCGGTAATCGTTCCACACATCATAACACTGCCCCGGCCGAATCTGCCAACTTGGGGAACGCAAGCGTCGGCGAAATGTTCACGTCGACGTCTGTACACCCGCATTCTTCCATCGCGTTGTTCCAATAGAAATCGTGATTCGGCACTGAACCAGATTCTACGCCAATTCAGTAGGTTCCAGGCCTGTACGTTGGTGCACCATTGAACTCAATGTCGACGATGTTGTTGTCGAAGCACAGGGCCAAAATAAAAAAAAGGGCTGGCACGTAAACCAACCTCTCTCAACCTGTTCCTGACGGTCTGTGCAGAAAGCCTCCTCTATCCGGGTATTTGTCGAGCGGTACTGGTCGCCGTAGCTGTTCGATGATGCAAGTGATGTACCCGGATGTAGCGATCCTGCGCCGCAGTGGTCGCTCGGTGTCGCCCACTACGAGGGGCATCTGCTACCAAATTCTGCCGGCGATATCTCTCCCAGAGCCGTGAAATGGTGCTATGGTGAACATTCATGCGTCGGGCAACTGCACGTTGAGGCTGGCCAGCTTCAAGCAAACCAGTGGCGATATGGCTTCACTTAGACGTGGCATTTTGCGTTCGTCAACAATATTCCAAATACAGTGAATAATCGACAGACAGCGATCAACCTTTTATACCCACCATTGAGACTATCTGATCCCCGACTTCCACGTGCATTACATGTGAATTGTGTATTCTGTGACACTACACGCCGAATTTGAAAATCATGCTGTTAAATACGGGTATTTTACGGATGGTGCGTTTTGTTGTGATGTTTCAAAACATAAACACCATAGGACTCATAAACAGAGCAAAAACTGATACTTGTTTACAATGCATAATATAGTTAATGTAAATTTAATAATTTACTCACTCCAATTGCTGTTGCTGAGGTGGAAACATCTTTTCTTTCTTCAGATACCTCAGCAACAGCCTCATAATAAAATCATAACATCATCACCATTGTTTTGTCTTGTACCCAACGGCTCAGAGCCGAAATTCCCCAGGCGACCTCGGCTACATATGCAAAGCCTTTTCACTATGTGGCTGAAACAGCGCCGAGGTGACGTTAAATTTAACCCACTCACATTCCCATGGTCCGTCATGTATGGAGCAGCTTTGGTTGCTGGTTGTCTGAAGCCTACTTTTCTGATGTACATATTGTTTTGCTGCCCTTTACCTACAGGACACAGTCTGAGT